ACCAGGTCCAAATAGGAAAAAAGAGACAGAAAAGAGAAGGAGACTCTCCTTCCAAACAGCAACATTTCCTCCTCCTCCCCCCTTCTCAGCACTGTCCTAGTAGGCACTCGACTCATTTCAGCAAAGTGAGGTTAAATTTGTATTTAATTTCATCTAATTCTTTTGTATTTATGTATGTATTTTAGTATTAAGCAGTATTTAAATTATTTTATACAATCTCATCAATGTATAATATGCCAGTAACAAGAGGATATTTTTTTCATGGTAACAGATAAATCGTTTTCCCTATATTTTTTATGGGAAAATTAGTTTGGTATACATTCCGTTTGGTATAAATCCGAGGTCCTGAAACAGATGAAGGATGTATACCAAGGTACCGCTGTGTATGGTGGTGTCTTTTTTTTTTGTCTCAAACACGTGAGATAATAGGTATATCATGCTATTTCTACTTACACTCAGATCACACTATATGTACATGCATGTCCACGAATTTATATTTACACACTCATCTGGGTTTTCTATTTTCTAAATAGTTCTTGTTCTATATTTCCTCCATTGGGAAGTGGAAAAGAATTCTTCCTCCATAAGCCATGTGTGTCATAAGAATCGACTAAAATGCCAGGAGCAAGGGGCTAGTAATCCCTTCTGTACAGTAAGGCCCTGCTTTATGGCGTTCCGCTAATATGGACATTTCAAATTATGACCAAAACTCTTCATATGGCTCCTCCCCCCACCTGACTCGCTAATATGGTTGCTGCACGCCACTTGGTTTGTTTACATTCTCTGTGAGCTCTGCGTTTCTCCATTATGTTTGGAAACCTTCCAAAATTTCAAGTATTTTAGAGTTTTCATATTATATTTTTTTCTTTAATAACCCTTTCAGGGTCCGTCCCGTAGATCAACGGCTTTACGTTGAGTGTCCAAACCGTAGATCTATGCCAAAATTCTAGCGCCGTCAAATTTAGCGCGAAAACGCTCATAGGCCTACATGTGAGAGAACGGGTCTGCGCCATAAACAAAAAATCTAGGCGCCCGCATAGCATTGTGGGAACGCCGGCTCAGTTACCCTTGTTCACCATGCCTCGTCGCAAGTCAGCTCTCACTCCACGGAAAATTGGGACTCTCCTCTTCCTATCTGATAGTTCTGACACTGATGGAAGTGGAAATGAAGACGAATTCTACGGCTCTGATCAGTTAGTGACCGAAAAGAATGACCAGGATATCGATAATAGTGCAGAAAACCCTGACGATCCTCAACCTTCTACCTCTGGTGTGGGCACTCGTGACTCACGGTCGGTTGTTCCTCATCGCAAGAGAAAACTAATATTTTCGCGTGGCCAGGCCTCTGACTTCAGTAATGATGATGATAGTGACGTGGACTGTGATTTTATTGCGCTCGACGATCAATCGAGTAGTGATAGTGAGGATATATTCACCAGTGAAGCGTCGGTATGTTCGCCGGCGCATGCGCTCGGGTAGTGTACCCTATGCTGTGCCCAGGGGACGGAGTACATCCCGTGGCCCAACACCAGTTTTAGGTAGTGATAGTGAGGATGATGTGGCTACACTTGGCATGGATAGACCACAGGCATTAGTGGATGGTGTTAGTGGTGATGGTAGTGGCACCGCCATGCGTGACTCACCAGGCCACGCTGGGACCCATGCTGACTCGTCAGTTCAAGGACAAAGCGGAGCGCCAGCCACCAGCCCACCACAGCCACAACCACCCGCACAACCAGCCTATGATGTCCAGTATCCACCAGCAAACCGTATGTGGGATTGGCAGCAAAATCCCAATTTTGTTCCCAAGCCTCACCACTTTGATGATTCTCAAAGTGGAATTCTACCTACTTGTCCCCTTGGAACCATGGCCAATGAACTGGAATTCTTTGAATTATTCTTTGACCAGCCATTGATGGAAATTATTGTCAGGGAAAGTAATAAGTATTTTGAGTACACCATGGCAAATACGATCTTATCACCACAGTCAAGACTACACAGGTGGAAAGAGATGACAGTTGCAGAAATGTATTTGCTTTTTGCAACAATAATGCTTATGCCCTACGTCTATAAGCATAATATAAAAGCATACTGGTCCACAGATCGGCTAATTTCTACCCCGGTCTTCAGTGAAATCATACCAGTGAACAGGTTTATCTTACTCTTACGTATGTTGCACTTCTCTGACAAAACCAGGCCTGACAGAAGTGACAGGTTATACAAGATTAGAAATGTTTTCATGTATCTCAAACAAAAGTTCAGAATATACTTTTATCCATTCAAGAATCTTGTAATTGACGAGTCTTTGATTTTGTTCAAAGGTAGACTGTCATTCAAGAAGTATATACCGAGCAAGAGGAAAAGCTTTGGTATAAAATTGTTTGTACTCTGTGATTGTGATTGTGACAGTGGCCTGGTGTTGGATATTGTTGTATTCACGGGTAGTAAAACATTGAAAGATACCAAGATGTTATTGGGTATCTCAGGTGACGTAGTGAGAAACATGATGGCACCTTATCTTGGTAAGGGGCATACATTATATACCGATAACTGGTATACAAGCCCATTACTCAGTGATTTCATGCGAGTGAACAAGACAGATGTGTGTGGCACAGTGCGTTCTAATCGTAAACATATGCCCAGGCTCAACGCAGGTGCTCGTGGTGATGACGTGCAGGTGTTTACTGCCAATGACATCATGGCATTACGGTGGCATGACAAACGAGATGTCACGTTGTTGACAACCATTCACCGTAATGAAATGCAAGACAGTGGCAAAGTTGATCGAGTGACTAATGAACATATTCGAAAACCAGTGTCAGTGATTGATTATACACAAAACATGCGCTTGGTTGAAAAGTGTGACATGCAGATTGGTTTTGTTGACTGTGTTCGTAAGAATTACAAGTGGTACATGAAACTTTTCTTCCATCTCATGGACATTTCAATGCTCAATGCATATAATATGTACCAAATAAAGACTGGCAACAGACCACCGTATGGTGAATTTTGTTTGTCTGTTGTCAGACAACTCAATGAAGTACCAGGTAACAACACCTGCTATACAACATGGTCCTCGAATTCCTCAGGATATACCCAAGCGTTTGAGGAGAGAAGGTGATCATTCATAATACAGTTTCCCTTCAACTCAGAAGAAATTTGCTCAGAAGAGATGCATTGTCTGTGCACAAACAAAATGACGGCAACAAAGACGCAAAGACACTCGGTTTATGTGTGAGGAATGTAAGGTGCCTCTGTGCATGGTGCCTTGTTTCAAGGAGTTCCTCAAGCTCCAGCAGTTCTAAAACCATGTCCAGTGATTGTAAATATGTAAATATATGATAGAACATTAGTATTATACAATATTTGTGCATGTTCATTGTAATAAACAACAGTGGTAAACAATAATATGATAAAAACTTTAGTGCGGTTATTGTGTTCAATACAGTGAGTTTATATATATACATTATATACAGTATTGGTCTCTCAGGCCCCAAATGTTAGTAGGAATAGAAAAAAATTGGAAAAGAAAAGAAAAAACAACTAAAAACCACAAAATAATGTAATGCGCGTATGTGGAATTCGTCGATGTTGCCGCCACCACATCATTTTTGACAAACTTCTTGGCACTGTATCTCGGTAAGTACTGATCAGATTTTTTTTTTTGTCTTATTACTTTCACAAAAATATGCTCTTTAATTCTGTAAGAAAAAATAATTTTTTTTTTTTTTCAAAATTTCTTGGACACTGGAGCACCACTTCAGATTTTGGCCTTGGACCCTGAAAGGGTTAACATGTCGGTAGCTTCCCACAGAGGCAGGGTGACCCAAAAAGAAAGAAAAAGACTTTCATCATCATTCAACACTTTCACCATCACTCATATATAATGTCTTTGCAGAGGTGCTCAGATACAACAATTTAAAAGTCCCTCCAAACTGCCAATATCCCAAACCCCTCCTTTGAAGTGCAGGCATTGTACTTCCCATTTCCAGGACTCGAGTCCAGTTAACCAGTTTCCCTGAATCCCTTCACAAAATATTACCCTGCTCACACTCCAACAGCTCGTCAGGTCCTAAAAACCATTTGTCTCCTTTCACTCCTATCTAACATGCTCACGTATGCTTGCCGGAGTCCAAGCCTCTCCCCCACAAAACCTCCTTTATCCCCTCCCTCCAACCTTCCCGAGGACGACCCCTACCCTGCCTTCCTTTCCCTACAGATTTATATGCTCTCCAAGTCATTGTACTTTGTGATCCATTCTCTCTAAATGACCAAACCACCTCAACCCCTCTGACTAATACTTTAAGTAACTCCACACCTCCTCCTAATTTCCACACTCTGAATTCTCTGCAGAACATTTACACCAGACATTGCCCTTAGACACGACATCTCCACTGCCTCGCCGCAGCATTTACAACCCAAGCTTCACATCCATGTACGAGTGTTGGTACCACTATACTTTTGTACATTCCTTTCTTTGCCTCCATGGATAACGTTTTTCATATCCACAGATACCACAATGCACCGCTCGCCTTTTTTCCTTCATCAATTCTATAGTTAACCTCATATTTCATAAACCCATCCACTGACAAGTCAACTCCCAAATATCTGAAAGCATTCACTTCTTTCATACTCCCTCTCTCTAATGTGATATCCAATTTTTCTTTATGTAAATCGTTTGATACCCTCATCATCTTACTCTTATCTACATTCACTTTCAACTTTCTACCTTTACACACCCTACACAGTACAATAATTTGAGCGTACAAGGGGAAGTTTTTCAATAATACAGTATGTAGAAAATTATGATATTCATGGGAAATGCTAAACTTGTAAAGATTGATCAACACCTGGAAAATGGGAGGTAATTAGGTTTGAGCCAAGGAAAAGTTGGACAGCAGCTCCAATTCCTATATCAAGAGCTCTTCACTGGCATTAGGACACCATTCTCAATGAGAACAATACAGTAAGGATTTAAGAATAATATCCAACAAACTTACGGTTCTGGCATAGGTCTCGACAAACATCTTCCACAAAAGTAACGAAGATCGGCCGCTTTTCTAATCGCTCCGTCGATCTAATCTTGAATATCAATGCTTTTCTAAAAGAAGTCAAACCATCACTACTTGACAGGTCAATATTATCCAACAGCTTATTGTCTGCAATAATAAAATTGTCAATCATAAGCAGTTAATTATACAAAAAATAAACATATCTCTACAATATCTTAAATATTACACTTTTATGTATTTTCAGTGTGTTTGTTTTGGAACCCAATTATTCCCTTACTATTTTTAAATACTCTATGCTATTTATTAGCCTTTTATTTTTTTGTGGTAGGAAATCATGACATTTCAACTTATACAAATTTGCACACAATTTTGTATAGGTTGATATGTAGGCTTGCTTAAGACACCTCACTGCTCAACATTTATTGGCCATTTTTCTTATAATGTTTAAATGCACACTTTCATCAATTTGTATAACCTAACCTTATATAAAACAAGAAAGTTTACTCTGACTGCAGGTAATATTCAAAAAATGATGCTAAGAATCATGCAAGAAAATAAGCAGCAAAAAAATGAGAATAGGTTGCAAATTTGTACATTTTAAGCATTACTACTAGGACATTTAAACTATCCAAAATGACAACCCCATTTTCCTCAAAATTTCTAACTACTGTTACTTAAAAAAAAAAAAAAAAAAATATCTAGTAATAATTCTCTCTAAAACTGTCATTATTCCAGTACATTTAAATAAATACACAACCACTAGAGCTCAAATCTTTATTGTACAGAGTTTTCATTTGTTTTAATTTTATTTATGAAGCACTGGAACTGTTTGGTTACTGCTTTAAACATATACAACAGTGTTACTAATGTAACAGTCATCTTTATTCAAAATAATGAATTTGCTATTGCTGTGAACATTTTGCTATCATATTAGAGAAAGAAAGCACAATAACAAAGTAAGCAAAACCATACAAAATCCATTTTACACATTCCACATATATAATCATTATTCACTATCATTAGCCATGTCAGCACAATTAGACAAGAGGGAAAATATTCCAACCACTTATTCCCCAAAATATATTTGGGTCTTATTCAAGGAAGCAGTGTGGGGAGAGAGGCATCCCTCCCAGAGAAGAGACCCTTAACCCCCACCATTTCATTAAGGTGACAAAGCAATGAGGATTTTAGGCTTCAGTTCATGTGTAAAAAAAAAAAAAAAAAAAGCATTTAACTAATTTTGGGACATGAATTCAAATCAGAATTTAGATTTGTTCTAATCTGTAAAGTTACTGTAAGAGAACCCGAGTGAACGATTTCTCAAGACACAGCCATCATGGAGAAGAGATATCAGGGAAATCTAATTATCAGTTTGATGGCAGACTACTGTTGGACACTGATACTGGAGAGCAATACTGAACACAGGTGATAAAGCTTGAAAACTGTGAATATGTTTGTAAAACTGTATGGAAATTTGTTTGTTATATGTACATCTATTGTGACTTTACATCAAGAAAGATTAGCTTTTGTCATTGCATGTGCCATACTTAATATCTATCAATGCACAATACCCATGAATGTTAGGTAACAATATATCGTGGTTCTTCAACCTCAAACAGCCAAAATATTCATCATAAAGATTTCAAAAAAACCTTATGCATTAGACTAAATGAGCTCAGATTTATGATCAGCACATCAAAGTTAGATTAAACCAACCAATTTTGTTTCTGAACTGGATAAAGTTGAATTTTGTTGCCAAGTGTTATAGAGTAACAATATTAACCTAACATCTAATAGCAATTACAGGGAACATAAAACAAGTACAGTGGTCCCTCAATTATCGTCCATAATCCGTTCTTGGGATTGGGACTATTATCGAAATAGACGATTTTCGAATCAATTTTCCCCACAAGAAATAATGTAAATACAATTAATCCGTTCCTGACACCCAGAAGTATTAAAACAAAAATTTTTTTTACACGAAATATAGATATAGTACGTAAACAATACAATGGCACATGATGAATGAAACATTAACAGCATAACACTTACCTTTATTGGCAATTCTTCTTAGTGGAGGAGGAGAGACATTGAATTACTGTTTGGAAGGGGAATCCCCTTCCATCAACACCTCAGGTACCAAGTGCTTTTCTGGGGTTAGTTCTCTTCTCTGTTTCTTAATGCCACTAGGACCAGCTTGAGTCACTGGAATCCTGTCTCGCAAAAAAACTGTCCAGAGAGCTCTGTTTCTGGCGTCTCTTTAAAACTTCCCTAAAATGGGCCAAGACTCTGTCACTGTACAAGTTGCCGATATGGCTTGCAACATCCTTCTCAGGGTGATGTTTCTCCATAAATCTTTCCATCCTACCCCACATTTCAAAAATCTCCTTAATTTCTGAAGAAGGCACCCTCTTCCATCTCTCTTCCTCCTCCTCTGCAGCAAGATTCTGAGCTGCGATCTGTTGCTCTTCCTGCTGAAACTCTTGCCCCTTTCATATTGTTCAATGATGTTTTTCTTAAATTCAATCATATTTCCCACCTTCTTTACCAAAGGTTTGGCACTAGGAGCTTTCTTTGGAGCCATGGTAGCTTATTTAGCACTTGCAAGCACTAAAATGAATGGAATATTATGAAATATTTCGTATGAACACGTGAGGGGACCGTCGCTCACTGGTAAACAATGGTACACTGGCTGGGAACGGCTCAGAGCCGTGAGTACGCTTTCCGGGAAAAAAAAAAGGCGGTTTTAGCGGGGTTAACGGACCATTTGCGGCCAATTTTTTAGACGAAAAAAAACGGGGGACTTTTTCCAAAATGGACAACTTTCGGGGCCGGGACGATTTGAGGGACCACTTTATTTTACTCCCCCTTTAAAACGACCACTTGATTTACAACCAGCTCTCCAACCAGTGTACTGTGTTTTGTATTTTATTTTTTTTATTTTTTTTTTAATGCCTATTTCTTTTTTTTAATTTTACAAAAAAAATTTTAAAAATTTGGTGCAGAAGAGAAATTATTTTTAATAAAAATTAAAAGGGTTTGGGAAAACCCCCAAAATCATTTTACGTAGTTTTGAAAAAATTAGCAAGGGGGGTTTCTTTGCAAAAACAAAAAATTTCGCTTACGATTTTATCTTAGGAGGGAAAATTTGGGGCGTTAACCCTTAAACTGTCCAAACTTTGATCTATGTTGTGCCATACCCACTCCAAAACGAGATTATTTTTTTTTATATGTTTTTTTATGGAAAAAATAAAGGTTTGGAGACAAAGCCACGTGCCCCAAATTTGTTTTTCCCCTGAAAAAGCTTTTAAAAAAAGTGGGATCTACGTTCGGATTTGTTTATGCCCCGCGACTTTAAAAATCTAGGGATGGACATTTTTAAAGGGTTTAAGGGGAAAAAACCATCTTTTAAAAACACTTTACTTTTCTGTTTCTAAATGACTTCACATCCCCTTTAAGGGTTTCCCTTTTCCCCAATTTTCCTTTGGGGGAAGTATTTTTAGGGCCTCACTCCACATTATGTCCCAAATTGAGGCTACTAAAATGTTGGTTACTTTTTTTTTTTTTTTTTTTTTCTCTCCAAAAGTGGGCCCGTTTCCCCCGGCAGGGTGACCTAAAAAGAAAATCCCCAAAAAAAAAAATTATTTAGTCATTCAAAAAATTTTCCCACCTCACTAAAAAAACCATAACCCACGTTTTTGAAGAGGTGCCAAAAAATAAAACCCATTTTAAAAACCCTTTAATAATTTTAAAGGGGGCCCCCGGCTTTCCCGGCTTTCCCGCTAATACGGTCTTTTCCCAAATTATGACCAAAACTCGCTTTACGGTTCCCCCTCCCTGATTTTAAATTTACGGTTTCCCCAGGCCCCCCCCATTTTGTTTACATTCTTTGTGGATCCATAAGCAAAAAGTCTCTCCAGTTTTGTCTGGAAAACCCCAAAAAATTTTCAAGTTTTTTTTTAAAAGTTATTTATATTTTATTTTACCTGATAATTTTCTTATTTTATACAGGGGGGAACCTCAAAAATCGAATTTTTTCCCGGTTTCAAAAAGTCTTTTCCCGGGATTTTTCCCTGGAGGGGAGTTCCGGGGGTAAAGGGCCCCCGCGGCCGGTCTGGGGACCGGCCCTGGTGGATGGGGCCCTGATAAACCGGTGTTGTGCTGGTGCACGAAACCAACTTTCGACCCAAACACCCCGGCTGATCCGGGAACGGGACTTTAGGTGTTGTCCGTGCCAGCTTAAAAGACTGCCAGGGGCCCTTTTGGTTTCCCCCTTATGTGTGGGGGGAGGCATTTGGGAACGTCTGGGCCCCTGACACTTATTGTATGGTTCTTAACGTGCTAGGGGACCCCCCTGCTTTTCATTGGGGGGAGGGTTTTGCTTCGTCTGCCAAGTTTTTTGCTTTCGTGTGGGTGATTTTTTGTGGCAAGTTCGGTATTTAGTCCCTCTGGGAAATTTTTCCAGGTGTATATAATCATGTTTCCTCCCCCCTGCGTTCCGGGGGGGAAAACAGGTTTGGGAACCCAAGCGCCCCCAATAATGGGGTTTGTTTTTTTCCCCCGTTATGCGCGCCTGAAGTTCTCTGAAACATTTTCTAGGTGGGGCCAATTTAAATCCCTTTTGAAAGGTGTGTTAGGGGTCCCACCCAATATTTCCAGCCTAGATAAAAAAAAAGTGACCTGAAGATTTGTCATAGGGGTTTGGGCCCCTCCCTAGTTTTAAAGGTTCTCTTTTCCCCATCCTGTCATTTTTTAGAAAGACGATTGATCAATGTTATGGCCCTTGGGAAGGTGAGATCCCCCGACTTTGATCATTTCCCGGTTTTTTGACGGGGTTTGTTTGGGCCCCTTTTTTGGTGGCCAGAATTTGTTTTGTACTCTGATGAAGTTTTTAATTTTCCCTCTTTTTTTCCTTATTTGAGTAATTGAAATTTCTCACTTTTTGGGAAATTCATATTGTTTTTTTCAGCCCACTAAAAGATTTGGTTGTTTGTCTGCCTGGAGCTTTGAAGTGTCTGCAAGGGAAAGACACTGTCATGCGATTGGGGTTTGTCATCTGCAAAGGAAGACAGGGGTTGCTTTGGCTGACATCCTTGTCTATGTCGGTTAAGGAGGGAGGAACAAGAGGGGAAAGGAGTCTGTGCTTT